TCGCACCACTGCAGTCCAGCCTGGGTTACAGAGCGACACCCTGTCTCAAAAAAAAGAAAACCAGCCAGCCTTCCCACTGCACACTTGATGCCACCACATGAGGAAAGGCCTGACAGCAGCACACGTCAGCAGGAAGGGCCCCTAGACCAAGAATGGCAGTGCTCTGAGGTCTGGGAACCCCTCCGGGGCCAGGAGCCTTTCCAGCTCTCGACTCTGAGGCTCCACAGGGCCCAGAAGATAAGCACAACAGGGTTGCCAGAGCCTCCTGTGCAGAAAAGGCCATGGGAAATGGTGTCCACCGCCCATACCCCGGCCAAGGGTGGGGGACTCTGCCATGGTCAGCTGGGAGTCACCCACAGCTTCCGGATCCGTGGTTCCAGGCATCAAAGATGATGCCTGGGCGGCCTGATGCACCAGCACACGTCAGACAATCTCAAGATACACAGGAGCTTCCCCTCTGAGCCCACATGTGCATGTGTGTGCTTTTTTGTTTTGTTTGTTTTTGAGACGGAATCTTGCTCCATCACCCAGGCTGGAGTGCGGTGGTGTGATCTCGGCTCACTGCAGCCTCAACCTCCTGGGTCTAAGCCATCCTCCCAGATAGCTGGGACCACAGGTGCATGCCACCCTGACTGGCTATAATTTTCATTTTTTTAATTCTGTTTCTGAGACCAAGTCTCACTCTGTTGCCCAGGCTGGAATGCAATGGCACGATCTCAGCTCACTGCAACCTCCGCCTCCCACGTTCAAGTGATTCTCCTGCCTCAGCCTCCCAAGTAGGTGGGATTACAGGCACCTGCCACCATGCCTGGCTAATTTTTGTACTTTTTAGTAGAGACGGGGTTTCACCATGTTGGCCAGGCTGGTCTTGAACTCCTGACCTCAGGTGATCCACCTGCCTCAGCCTCCCAAAGTGCTGGGATTACAGGCATGAGCCACCACACTCAGTCTTATATTTTTTTTAGAGATAGGGTCTTGTTATGTTGCCCAGGCTGGTCTCGAACTCCTTGGCTCAAGTGATCCTCCTGCCTCGGCCTCTCAAAGCCCTAGGTTTACTGGTATGAGCCACTGTGCCCAGGCTGGTGTGTGCTTTTATTTAAATTGTTCCAGCCGGGCACAGTGGCTCACTTCACACCTGTAATGCCAGCACTTTGGGAGGCCGAGGCGGGTGGATCACGAGGTCAGGAGATCGAGACCATCCTGGCAAACACGGTGAAATCTTGTTTCTACTAAAAATACAAAAAAATTAGCCAGGCGTGGTGGCGGGCACCCGTAGTCCCAGCTACTTGGGAGGCTGAGGCAGGAAAATGGCGTGAACCCGGGAGGCGGAGCTTGCAGTGAGCCAAGATTGCGCCACTGCACTCCAGCCTGGGCAACAGAACGAGACTGCATCTCAAAAAAAAAAAAAAAATTTGGGCCGGGCGCGGTGGTTCAAGCCTGTAATCCCAGCACTTTGGGAGGCCAAGATGGGCGGATCACGAGGTCAGGAGATCGAGACCATCCCGGCCTACACGGTGAAACCCCGTCTCTACTAAAAAAAAATACAAAAAAAACTAGCCAGGCGAGGTGGCAGGCGCCTGTAGTCCCAGCTACTCGGGAGGCTGAGGCAGGAGAATGGCGTAAACCCAGGAGGCGGAGCCTGCAGTGAGCTGAGATCCGGTCACTGCACTCCAACCTGGGCGACAGAGTGAGACTCCGTCTCAAAAAAAAAAAAAAAAAATTTGTTCCGTAGTTCTATTTGGTTTGTTTCCTTTAATTAAATCTCAAATTTACAAGAGTCCAGACTGGCTGGACAGCCCAGCAGGGACACGTAGAGTTTTGCACATTGATGTCTCAACAGCACAGGGTTCCATCGGGGCTTCGTGAGAGAATCAGAATCCACGTAAGTTCTTGAAGGTCTGTCTCTCAGCCTAAGATAAGCGGAGAAGGTTGCCTTGGAAGCGTGGGGTAGAGGTAGGAACAGCTGGCTCTCTGGCCAAGACCTTTGGCTTTTTTCGCGGAAGCAAAAACCAAACCACAGGAAACCTGCTCCAAGTCTGGGATCAGGATTTCCTATCAGTGAGTGCGGCAGGCCAGGGAGAGGCGAAAGGGAGTGGAGAGGACTGTGGCAAAAGGGAGAGGGGCAGCCCCTGCACAGCTTCACCAGGGGCCAGTGCAGGCTCAGATGGCCCCGACTGGCGAGTTTGCAAGAGAAACTCCAAATCCGGACGGGTGTGTGTGTGATCTTGTTTTTTAAATGCTGGCACATTTCAAATGTCTCCAATACTGGATGGAGCCGGCTAGACCTACCTTCTCACCGAGTAAGGCCCACAGGCCCCTGCGGCAACCTCTACCCTCTACAGACGAGGTTCTGCAAAACAGTCATGGGACCTCGTTTCCCCTCCCCCGCCGGCACCCAAAATAACCTTCCTGACCTACAGCACCATTCTGCAACCTTTGAGAACCCATGCCCCCTGCTGACAAACAAAAACGGCAAATAGACTCCGCCACAGCACGCCGCCACGCCCCGAGCTAAGAATCGCGGCGTCTCTGGGTAGTACCAGAGCCAAGATGACGGCCGAGCTTTGCTTTCTTGGGTCTGTCTTATAAAAACAACATGGTTGGCTGGTTGGTTGCTGATTCTCCAAACATGAAATCACGATACTACAAACGTGCACACTTTGTGAGGCTGAGGGAGGTAGATCGCTTGAGCCCAGGAGTTTGAGACCATCCTGGCAACATGGTGAGACCTTGTGTCTACAAAAAATACAAAGATTAGCCAGGTGTGGTGGTGCACGCCTGTAGTCCCAGCCGAGGATCACTTGAGCCTGGGAGGACGAGGCTGCAGCGAGCCGAGATTGCACCGCTGCACTCCAGCCTGGGCGACACAGCGAGACCTTGTCTCAAAACAATAAATAAAATGTGCATAACATCTCAGGTGGTTTCCCCTACCCCTGGGTGGGGGCACGCTCCGTCCCCTCCCACGTGACAGTCCCTGGATTGGAGCTGTTCTCCTCCCGACCCAGGGCAGAGGTCTCCAGTGTCATGGAGGCATCCTGGCTGAACGTGCCAGCGTTCACTGGAGCCTTCTTGAGTGGGGGCTTCCAGGACCAAGTCCTATGGACTGACGGGCTTCAGGCACATTTGTTCTCATTCACTTCTCTGGACCACAAGTCTGAGATGAAGGTGTGACCAGGGCTAGGTCCCTCCAAGGCTGAGGGGAATCTGCCCCGGGCCTCTCCCAGCTCCTGGTAGTGGCTGGCATCCTTGGCCTTCCTTGCATGCATGTCTGTGTCCAAATCCTTTTTTTTTTTTTTTTGAAGACAGGGACCCACCCTCACTCAAGCTGGAGTGCAGTGGCACGATCATTGGTCACTGCAGCCTCTAACTCCTGGGCTCAAGTGATCTTCCCTCCTCAGTCTCTCAAGTAGCTGGGACTATAGATGCTCACCACCACAATAATTTTTTTTTTTTTTTTTTGAGACTAATCTCACTTTTTCACCAAGCTGGAGTGCAGTGGTGCAATCTTGGCTCACTGCAACCTCTGCCTTCCAG